ATGTTTGAATATACTTGTTTTCGAACTATATTACAAGAATATCTTTATCTTTATTCTAAAATAATTTATAAATACATATATTACTAACTAATAATTAAAAAGAGAAATGCATGTCTTAATCTTATGCAAGTCTAGTAATCCATTACTAAAGCTATGGATTATGGATCATAAACATTATTAAGTCATACCCATTTGATTAATATTTAATAAAAAGACGCATGAAATAAAAAATATGGGATAAATATCAATTTTCTTCTATGTATATTTTCTTTATCTTTTCCTTTTTTAAATTATTTTTTCCAAAAAAGCCCATACAACCTTTCCGTTTTAAATAGTTTAGTCCTTAATTTTTTAAAATAAAAAAACCTTTAAACTTTTTCATTTTAAATGATTAAGTCGTTGAATTTTTTTTAATGTAAAAATCATTAGATTTTCTTATTCTGAATTATTAAAATTTTGATTTTTTAATAAATAAGTCATCAAACTTTTGCTAGTCGGTTAAATGAATCTTTTTTGAGTTAAAAGTATTATGGTTTATTAAATAGAAAAATATTTTATAGACTTATTCATTCAAAATAAGAAAGTGATTTTTTTATTTAAAAAAATAATTCAGAGAGTTAAATATTCCAAATGAAAAAAAAAATTCAATGCTTTTTTATTAAAAAAAAGGTTTAAATATTAAATAATTTAAACTAAAAAATTAATTGATCTTTTTTAAACTTTTTCCCATTTAAAAAAAAAAAAAAGAGATGAATTAATTGTATTAAAATATATTCCTTGTAATAATTTTAAAAAATTAAATCTTTTTTATAACTAGCATTTTTTTAACACCTGGGTTTGAACTTGTCTTCGACCTGACCAGGAACATCATCATTCACTAGGAGTTGGGTCTAAGGTAGTTTTGGATCCTCAACCTGGACTTGGAGAGTTGGAGCTATTCATTTGTCCTGAAAGTCTTAAAAGTTATAAAAACAACTTATAATGCATTAATTACTATTACTTTATGCATTCAGTCTTAAAATATTTTAATCTACAATTAAAATGACATATAGTACGAGTTACCAATGCACATTATTACCTTTTCTTTTCATGTTCTCAAGATACTT